TTTGGTCTCTGAAGTACTCACATTATACTTGGCCATAAGATTTCCTTTGGGAGTTTAGTGAATGGAGCCAATTTTTTTGATGAGCCACCCAAAATCTCAAACTTTCCGATGGTGCTGTAGGGTCTGAAGTAGATCTGTGTTTTAGACTAGACTCTAATATGCCTCTTGTACCAGCCTATAGAGTGGTAAAGTGTGATGTCATCAAAAATCTATTTTTAGAATTTCTCAATTTTTTCTTCATATTCCGAAAGAACATAAAAAATAATGTCCAAATGTCGAAAACCAATTGAATATGTTAAGTATTGGCTTAGATATGACCATCTGTATGAATATATGTCCTATGGGAACTCAGTGTTATATGCTCTGGCTCCTAACCATTAGGAGCCAGAGCATATAACACTGAGTTCCTATGGGGAGTATATTTATTATGGGGGTACAGAATGAGAGGATCGAATGGCAAGGTATAACAGTACTGTCAACGTTGAGGATGTGTTATGTAATCGGCTGACTGCGCGAGCGACACGTAAACGGTCCAGATGCTGGACAAGCTTGTACCATTTGTATTACGTCTATTCTTTTACCATATCTATCTTATATATCCATGCTTGTACAATGATGTACTGTACTGAAGTCATTTTTGAATAGGGGAACCCCAGCTCCCCTGGATTTTTTAATGGGCAATATAGAGTCTGAATTTACAGACTACCTAGCATGCATAAATAGTATTTTGAAGCCCGAGATTCTTGGAGAGACAAAGAGAGATACAATATATCTTAATTTTTTAAAGTTCTTTTTAAAGGTTTCATATACAGTGTAAGTACCATCAACAAATTTATGATTTTAATGGGATGTAGGAGAGAGAGATAGCTTTTAGCGTTTTCTGTTTACTAATGATAAAAAATAGACCCTTTCCCTATCAAGTTTCAACTGTGTAAAATATCAGTTATTAAAAACTTTATGTGCATCCCAATGTTGCTTTTCATTTGAAAGAGTTGTAGATCTTTTGTTCCTGATCAAATTAATTTGAGATCTCACTCATCCGATGACTCTAGAAATAATCTAGATGAACGCTGAGGTTTTTTTACTCACTCTCTCCAGTTCTTGTTCCATTTCCATGTGATAAAATAAATAAATATAGCTCAGTTTTGGCATCAGGGGATTTTGATTGACGTCATGGAAACTTAGATGTTGATTGCCTTCTTTTGTTAAAGAAACAGGATTAGTGATTGGCAATGAAGAGAAATCATTACTGCCATACACATGGTGTAGCTTGCATCATTGATGGCATCAAAGGTCACATTCAATGCCTGGAAACCTTTCAGAAACATGTTAAAACAGTTTTATTTACTCTAGAGTTACAATTGATATTATGTTGTTAGAATTCTGGAGAGAGATTTGTGTATTTTGTGTATTTTGTGTATTTTGTTTTGTATAGAGCCTAGAGTAAGTTATTAGATAAGTGCGCTTTATAAAAGTATTTATTATTATTATTATTATTATTAATGCAGAGGAGCAGAAAGCAATTTAGCTTTGACATACCCCAAATTGAAATTATATCGATATCCAGAAAAGATACCTGTTGTTATAACTGCCTAGCAAAAACCAGTTCTTAATTTTTATTTAACTTTTCAAAGAGTTCCCTAAAAAAATAAAAAAATAAACATTAGAAAAGTTCATTAATAAGAAAACGAGACAACTTGCATGTTTCATATTGATTCATGTAGTTTGTTGTTTTGTTGTTTGAGTCATATGAATTTCATCTCTTGTTTTAACAAGAAATACTACTTTCATGTCAGCTCTAGTTTCAGATCTCTTACATGTATGGTGTGCAAGGAGTACTATTGCCTGAACTAAGCTCAGTTTCATCAATGCACTTGAAGAACAGAGTTCTTTAATCTGTTCCAACTCACCCATATAAGAGCTTCTCCTTTAATCAATTATATCTCCCGTGAATTGTAATCTGAGGTCTGTCTACCCCAGAACATTCAACTTATTCATTCCTGACATGAATGAGGAACCGTTCTCATGAAAGAGGGACTTCTTCTGGGGCCATGTATTATGACACCAGCCCCTGGGGATTGTAACTGTTAGCAGTTAGAGAAACGTCATACTCCCGCCTCTAAACAGATCTCTCTCTCCTGTCATATTATTCTTGAAATCTATTCTTGTATGTGACTTTTGCCCAGAATCAATTTGACAGTGGCAATGTTAAGATTGTGAAACTTGGTATATTAGTTTGTTTGCTGATGTATACACATCAACGTTGCATTGACAGGATTTGAAGTAGATGAGCTGTGTCCAGCGTGTTATAATCTTGTCTCAGAGTGGGATTAGTTGATCCTTTGTGAAACAAATATTGGATATTTCTACCTTATTATTTGCTTTTGTAGTACCATTAATCCGGCACACAGACTGATCATTGTTGTGTATTGGGCTGGGTCTCCGGCTGTGTCTCGGGCTGGGTTTGGGAGCTAGACACATCTTTCTTATAAATAAATCATCTCCATGTTTGGTGCAAGACTGATGAATGGATGATTACAATGACCTAGAGCTTAGAATCTTCAGCCATCTGATGTATTTTTGACGACTGCAAGCCATCCAGGAGCGTTGCCCTTTCCTAGATTTCTCATCTTCACACCGTCATGTCTTCAATATTTTGATCAATCACTGATCATTGATTCTTAAGCCAGCTAGGATGCCAGCTAGGACGGCAGCTAAGCAAAGATGAGCAGGCAAATAGGAGTGAATGCACTTTGGAGGAGCATCAATTCTTAAGATGTAGAGCGGGAGAATAATATTGACCGGATGTTTGTGATTTAAAAAAAAAATTAATGTTTTCAATTCATCTTTTCTTACGTCAATCCAGGGCACAGAAGGATATATACAAGGATATATATATATTATATAAGGAAAAAGGAGCAAAGTGAATAGCTTCCTCAAAGTTCCTGTTCATGCCGCTAATCTCATTGAATAGAAATGAAAATAAACAAATGACTGCTGTACTATAGATTGTAGTACAAGTATGGTTTCATTCAGTACATTCATTCATCAATGTGCTGAGATGACTTATGAAGCGGGAATACATCTCTAATTATGACAATGTAGATAAGACACTAACATTATTATTATTATTTGACCAACTATATTAGATTAACTTTATATTTAATGTAAATCAGAGTATTAAGAGATCAGTGAATCAGATGTGAAGTAGCTCTTCCTAAATTAGAAAAGTTCATTCTATATGTTGATTATGTCCACAGACTGGACAGAAACTGTTTTTATTTTTTTTGAAAAAAGAGAACGAAAATGGGTCAGGTTTTGTTTCATGAAGTGTGATGATTCTGTTACCAGAGCTACATGTGAATATGAGAAGCTAGTTGAACATGAGGAATGTCTATGAACTTGAAGTATGATGGTGGTTGGTTGCCTGGTGGTGGTTGGAAGCATCTGTTGTAACTCTCACCACACTGTTCCTCTGCTTATTCACACCTACCCAACCAGACATGCATCCCTCTTATTCATAGTCTGCTTTCTAAACCCTTTGATAGACTCATGTTTGAATTGCCTGACAGTAACAATTTGACCAATGGAAACAAAACCATCAGGCCTACTTCACGTGCAACCCTTTGCTGTTTAGAGCCCTTTTTTTCAGAGCTCTTTTTTTTTCAGAGCTGAGAAACTGATGTCCCTATGCACCCCCAAATCTGCATCTACAGTGACCTCTTGCTATGGAATTTGACTACCGGTACTGGTACCTCTGTCATTTCCACCATGCACCATGCACGAGCCATGCCCCTTCATCTTAGTTCCTATATCCTCTCCATTGCCCGCTGCCCATAGGGACAAACAAATTGTTATATTGAGATTCAGATTGCTCCAATCAACAAGGCCACACCTATACCTTAGAATATGAGAGGATTGAAAACAATTTCATGGTGAAGTACCCATGTTATGCAAGAGAGACCCCTCTGTTCATTGTGTATGAGATCTATGCCTGGAATAACGGGTTAGAACGGTCAAATTGTCACAAAAAGGTGGTCAGTTGTTGCGGTAAAGATCAGTGACATCATTCAAGCAGAAAGAGGGAGGTTTCGGATCATGTTGAGGCTCGTGAGAGCAATGGGATACTGAAGGCTAGGATGTGAGACTAGCTTGCTAGCGGTTGACAGCACATGTTGTTTATTGCACACAACCAGTGTATCCATCAAGCCAGTCCCCACCTAATCATCAGCTGGGCTGTTCACTAGCTAGTAGCTGTCTCTAGCTCTTCCTCTCATTTATACATACACCAAGCACATGGATCATATTTGCTTGGTCTCATCATGAAGATTGGATCATTTGAGAACCTGTCCTCATTCAGCATCTTTAATCATCTCACGTCGGATAATAACCAGCTTCAGTATGGACCGATAACTGCAAGGTTTACCAGCATAATGTGATTCATCCTCATCATCTACAGAAACAGTTTTTTTGTTTATATGGTCTAATGGTCTAGTGATGATTGGTATCTAGCCTTGTGAATAATAAATGAAGGAGAATATAAAGGATAATATTGGAACATAACAGAGTGAAACTATGCAAACTTTACTAATATGATGAATACTGATTTGGATGGTTACTCTGCAGATGTTATTGTTGTGACTGACTGGACTGCCCACCACTCCAATTTGGGAGTTTGCACCAATTGATTCTGGAGCTATATTTCTCCACACTGTTTCAAGCAAAGAGAAAGCTGCATCCATATTTATGCCCACTCTGCTGAGCTGGGATCACTGTCTCCCTGTCACTCATGGGTTGTTTACTCTTTGTTTTGTTTAAAGGCTCAAATAGTCAACAATGTTTGAGCTCATCTCAAAGGAAAGCTCAGTCTTCACACTTAGCTTCCAAATATCACAGTGAGGTGAAGACTCAACAACTACTCAGTATTTCCTGAAGTTTATAGAAATATGGTGAAGAGATGAAGAAAGCGATACTACTGACCTGTAAATAAGACATTGACTTGTTACAAGTACAACCAAGATATTGTTGATCTAGAGCACCTGGCCTGGACACTCCGGCCATCTCATGTTTTCTTGTTTGAGAAAACTCCCATCAGTAAACTTGCTTATGAAAGCTGTTAATCTGTTTTGTACGTTAGTCCTAGTGCTGTTGTAGGCTTCTCAGATTGCATAAATTACAGTAACAAACTTTCTCCATCTATCAGGGCCTATCAATGTGTCAACTATTATCTCTTTCTCAGTTAGAGCTGCAATGTGTTAATGAATGATAACCTGTCTGTAATGATTTGAAGACAAAGGGAGATTTCCTGGTTATTAACCACATGGAACGTAACTGTATCACACCATCTATCCTCTGAGTGGAACATGCATAGCTGGTGGCCAGGAATAGAAATTAGGTACAGCGTCACTGTCTCCGTCCTTCCTCAGTAACTTGAGCCTGCATTCAATAAGACAGTGAGCTAGCTCTGGCCTGCTGCATCTAGAGACCAGTAGTAGTTCAAACATGAGCATGACATTGAAGTCAGTCAGTTGAAGGATGAAATGATGGATTTAAGTTTGTAGCAGGTGGATTGTTAAGACGATGGAAGGTTTTCAGGGTTGGTTAGGGTTGTTGGTGTACCTATGCAAAGATGTAGCATCTACTTTACTTGTTGTATCCTGCCTTGGAGCGGTAATCCTCAAGATCTTGGACCCTTTACTCAGTCATCTTGAAAACCTCTGGCATCTATTACAGCATTTCCAGGTAAGGAAGAGAGATGTAACAGAACATGGAAAAATTTCTCTCATTGTAAGAAGTTAGTTTCAAATCCTTGAGTGAATATGAAACTTTCTCCATGATATTAAAAACCTGGTGTTCTTTTTTATCCAAATTTATCATAGAAGATTTCATAGCCGAATTATATTAACACTGATTTTTACTCTTGATCCATCAGTCATGTATATGATGTTGATTGATATTTTTCAAAATATAAATTAGATAGAAATCACTGATTAAAATTACAGTGATTTATTTGAAAATGCACCTCTATTCTGATTGCAATTAAAGCTTTGTAGGCGAAACATTGTTGTTGAATATGATAATGATTTATGATCAACCAAAAGGTAATCTAGTCACATCCATTTGCAGAAAGTTTTTAATGTTCCCATCGATGTATGAAAATTGTGAACTTCATTATTTCAAATGATGCATGTATGAAACACTTAAACATTAATGATTAATCTTAATCTGTTTTTGTTGAATGAAAATGATAAGGATTAATATTGAGCACATCCTAAATTGGGTGTTTTTTGATGAGAAGTCATTATTACAGATATTTTATGACTAATTAGATGTGAGATGTTGTGAGAAAGTATGATTATTTTGCCACTAAAATCATAAAGTGTTTCCTCCTATAGTATATTGTAAATGAGAGCCCTTGACAATTGCCATTAGGTTGATGAGATATTGGAGATAAGAGAAAAACAACTTAATCTGTCATTATGGGACAAACAAATCAAAATGTGTATTTCCTGCCTTAACTATTGATACATGAAATATGAGAACTAATATTTCATTTTGTTTAATTTAACCACAGCAATTGACTTGCTTTGCAGCATGGAACAATGATTCCATTTAAATATTTCATGTTATAAAGACATCTCTTATCACCATTTCACATCTAATCGTTTCAATCAGGAGTGATTTAATACTTGTATTCTTATGAGATAAACAGACTGGTTTTTATGCTCTTCCAGTGGAGCTATTTCTGGTATTTTGTTTGAGCTGTTGATTGAAGCAACCAGGTTTCTCATAGGATATTAATTGAGTGGATTGCTGCATGGGTGTAATAAGGAGAGATTGGTGAAATCCCTCATCCTCCCTGATAGATTGAAAAATGATGTTGATTAATTTAACAGACTTAGCAAGCATGCAGTCTTGGGAAGCAGACAGGATTCTTCATTACATGTTGAACTTGGTCTGGTATATTGGTATACAGACAGGGTGATGATAACTGCTTCATTTATTTTCAAACCGTATCTAACTTGAATACCAACATTGCTAATATGGTACAAGCTACATTAATTTTAAATATTATTATATTTTTACAAATTTATGACTTTTTTCGAAGGCCATATTTCGTTAGTTAATTTGACATTCAATAGAGGAAATGATATATTTGCTATTTTACTTATAATTCATGCAAGTATTATTGACCGTAATGATTGTTCTGAAAAATGGGTAGTAGCATAATTTGTGAACAGAGAAAGAGAGAGAGAGAGAGAGAGAGAGAGAGAGTGCCGGAGAGAGAGAGAGAGAGAGAGAGAGTGCCGGAAAGAGAGAGAGAGAGAGAGAGAGAGAGAGAGAGAGAGAGAGATGTACAATGCACATCTGAACTTAAAAAGTTCTCTAAATTTTATAAGGTTTTAGTTCATTGGTGAAATGAAGTAAGGAACACATACATGTGTGTGTAACATTGTACTGTGACAAAAATAAGAGAGATATAAGTACTCTGCTGGTAATGATGCAATTTTCGCTCAAATTAATTTACATATAAACAAATAGAAGGGTTAATTGCAAGCTTTATATATTTGTGAAACCAGAATATATTGGTTCTATACATAGAGTGGACACCCTGCCTTCTGGCGTTTTTCAGATGAAAACAAAAAAAATATTGCACTTAGTTGAAAAGCATTTGTCATGTACAAAAGTTAATTTTGTATCAGTTATATATGAGCTACTAGGCTATTCACATGACTGAGCAATCAGGAGGGAGTGGCCGTTCTCAATTAAATTCTTCTGTTTTAATTGTTTTGTTTAGTTGATGATTTGTAGATGACAGTTGTTTCACATTCATGACCAATAATCATTTAAGTACTCTCAGTAATGGTTCTTCTATCAACCCTAGAATGTTCATGTCACATTTCATGTCACATTCATCACACTACATTCATGTGTCATACGACAAGACAGGCAGTCTGTAAACTTTCAAACTTCTCATGTTCCTCACCAAGTTATCATAACTTCCTGAGTATGAGCTTCATGTAATAGCCAATTATCTGGGCTGTATGACCTCCCAGGAATGATCAATTAGATCATTATAATCACTTGTAAGTTAACATTTGAACATTCAGAATAATTCTCCACTTATAGCATTTGGGTGTGAGGAAATTGTAATCACTTATTAGTCCCTTTACTTTGCTCAAGTAAGAATGTTGATGTACATCTAGAGTTTGAAGGAAAGACAATTTGGGTGTAACATCAATTTAGCATTAGACATAGTAATGTTTAATCCTTAAGTGAACATGTGGCTAAAGAACTCAAGTACATTAATGAGAATCTTGTATGAGTTCATGTGACACGTCAAGATAGGCTCTCTAGGACAGGATTGGAGACAGAAGTAGCATGGAGAGAGAGAGAGAGAGAGAGAGAGAGAGAGAGAGAGAGAGAGAGAGGAGAGAGAGAGAGAGAGAGAGAGAGAGAGAGAGAGAGAGAGAGAGAGAGAGAGAGAGAGAGAGAGAGAGAGAGAGAGAGAGAGAGAGAGAGAGAGGAGAGAGAGAGAGGGAGAGAGAGAGAGAGAGATGGAGAGGGAGAGAGAGAGATGGAGAGAGAGAGAGAGAGAGAGATGGAGAGGGAGAGAGAGAGAGATGAGAGAGAGAGAGAGAGAGAGAGAGAGAAAGATGGAGAGGGAGAGATGGAGGGGAGAGAAAGAGAGTAATGAATATATGTCTAATACTAATATCATCTTTTTTACCATGTATAATGTAATGTACATGTAAGCATAATTGTATCATTATAGCATAAGTATAGTTTATTATATGAAGCTCATTGTAAGCGCCTTGAGCACCCTCTAGGTGGATATGTTGCGCATTATGAATATCTTTATTATTATTATATGCTGGTTTGACTTTGATGTATTTAAAAATGAAGATTAGCAACATACTAGATGAAATGCAGGCGCGTAGCCAGGGGGGGGCGGTGGGGGCGGTCGCCCCCCCCAAAAACGCCGGCCAAAAAAAAAAAGAGAGAGAAAGAGAAGAAAAAAAAAGAAAGAGGACGTAGGAAGAAAAAGGGAAAAGGTGTCGAGAACGGTACAATGAATCGTCAAAGCTTCCGCGCTTCGCGCGGGAAACTGAGTTCAAATTAAGAAATATGAGTCGGGAAAGGTACAACGAATCGTCTTCTTCCTCTAATAATTTAATGAAACGTCAAAGCTTCGCGTGAGAGAGGGGAGGGACTGAATACAGATAAGGATTAAGAGTCGAGAGAGGTACAACGAATCGTCTTCTTTCTCTAATAATTTAATGAAACGTCAAAGCTTCGCGCGAGAGAGGGGAGGGACTGAATTCAGACAAGGATTATGAGTCGAGAAAGGTACAACGAATCGTCTTCTTTCAAAGCTTCCGCGCTTCGCGCGGGAGGGGGGAAACTCCCCCCTCCCTGCACCCACCCCCCTAGGGAGCGCGCTTCGCGCGCTCTTTAAGTGATTCGCACGCTTCGCGTGCTCACTACCGCCCCCCCTAAAATGAAATCCTGGCTACGCGCTTGATGAAATGCTGAATAAAGACTTGTAGTTACACTAGATGAATTGGCGAAAGAGAAAGTATGACATTTTTAGTCAACAAAGATTATCAACTGTAATATAAGAATGTTGCCTTGCATGCTTTATTCTAGCTTGCACTGACCTGACAAATGTATTACCTCAAACAGGACAATGGAATCATCTGTTTGGAACCAGAAAGATGTTAACTCACAGTATTAACATCATTCTGGCTCTCAACAGACACAGTCCAGGCTTCAGGGAAATGATTCATGTACAGTTTAAGAATGGTGACTGTTAATTATCTTTTAAGTAATTCCGGAAATAAGATGATAATGCAAATGGGCTAATCAAGTAAGACTATGTTCAGTGAAGTGACTATCTAAATTCTTTGAATTAGAGTCTTGTTATGATTAAAGCAGTCCCATTCATAGGAAATGATGTTAGGTACCTCTAGTCCATGTACATGCTTGACACACGCACACACATCCTACTGATAATCATGTTATTTCAGGCTGTAGGAGACCGGGATGTAAGATAACCCAATATCTGATCACGTTGCTGAAAGGCGATTCAGAACCCAGGTACCATGCTTACATCAGATAGCTCTGACACTGACAGCCAGGCCAGGCCAGGCCAGGTCAGGTCAGATGGAAAATTGAAAGAGAAAGTTATTTTTTCCTTCATTATTAATCTCATATCAGTCATTAATGGAACATCTGCCTTACTCTGAAAATGAAGATGTTTTATTTTTTTCGATTAAAATGTATAACTCACTCAGGCCTGCCTTTGATTTATTTTGGTTCACTTTGAATCCCTTTCTATCATGCAGTTTATCCCACTCTTGTAAATTGGTCATATTTGTCATGGAATTAGTGGAAAGTAATTTGGTTTGTTTTTATTTGTATTTGCCTTAAGGAGAATGCAGCGGATATTTGATTTTGACTTCTCTTTCTGTTGTATAAATAGTAAATGTAGACAGTGGGGATTTAGAGGTAATTTGAATTTCAAGTTTCAGTTTTGGCATGGTAATTGGTTTGATTTCAAGGAGTTTCTGTCAATTAAGAGGATTATTGAATTGATTTGAGGATTACCCCATAAGGAGGTTTTGTGTTGGTGTTTTTTAGTTCAAGCCAAATAAACTGGACCATTTTATCTTATATACATTAGTCTTTCTCAATACCTATCTATTCCATTACAATAACAAAATCTTGGGTCCGTATCC